CTATTAATCATTACTCCAATCCCGAAGACCAACGAAATAGGACCAGAGTCCTATCGCGTTATTCCATGCTAATATGTTCAGAGCACAGGCCTGCTTTGAACACTCTATTTTTTTCAAAGTAACAGCGCCGGCTCTGGATCCCAGCCAWTAAAGGCAAGGAACGCATACCCGGCAAGAAAGGCGAAAGGGTCGGTACACGCCCGCAAGAGCGGACCAACCCCTCCCACCCAAAATCCAACTACGAGCTTTTTTACTGCAACAACTTAAATATACGATATTGGAGCTGGAATTACCGCGGCTGCTGGCACCGGACTTGCCCTCCAAAGGATCCTCGTTCAAGGAGTTTACGACTGTTCTCATTCCAATTACCGGACTCGAAAGAGCCCAGTATTGTTATTTATTGTCACTACCTCCCTGTGTAAGGATTGGGTAATTTACGCGCCTGCTGCCTTCTTTGGATGTGGTAGCCATCTCTCAGGCTCCCTCTCCGGAATCGAACCCTAATTCTCCGTCACTCGTTACCACCATGGTAGGCCTCTATCCTACCATCGAACGTTGATAGGCCAGAAATTTGAATGGAACATCGCCGGCTCAAAGGCCATGCGATTCGACAAGTCACCATGATTCGCCGCAACAACAGGCAAGCCCGGATCGGCCTTTTATCCAATAAATACATCCCTTCCAGAAGTCGGGATATGCTGCACGTATTAGCGCTAGAATTACCACGGTTATCCGAGTGGTAAGGAGACCACCAAATAAATGATAACTGATTTAATGAGCCATTCGCAGTTTCACAGTGCAAAGTGTTCACACTYAGACGTGCATGGCTTAGTCTTTGAGACAACCATATGACTACTGGTAGGATCAACCAGGTAGCGGGTGTGACGAGCAGCGGCAAGGAGCGATGGTCAAGCGCACGCAGGCACGTCACGCCAGACAGCCTACCAAAAGAACGTCGAACAATCGTGGAACGTGCAATGAGCTGTCGAGACGCCGCGAAGTCCGGCTGTTTGGATTGCAGGTGAACTTCCCTGCGTAGGCCATCTCCAACGGCAAGGTACCGCACAATCCAACACAGCCCGCCGCACCCGCCCAAGAGATTGGCTGCAAACAACACCCGCCCACACCACATCCAGAGATCGCAAGTTAACCACACTACCTGAGCAACGGCGCACGCAAAAGAACCACCGACAGATTTGGCCCACAGCCGGATGCCACCGCCCGCCCAAAACGTGCCGACAGCGAAGTGCACAACCTCATCTCTCCATCGAGAAACGCGGGTGAAGAGAGAAACGAATGCACCCCGCTTCCAACACGCCCGGCCGGACGGAAAGCCTCCACCTGTGCACGGGGGCGCAAAAGGAACACAACCCCTCTCCCCCCTGGATCCACATCCGTCGGTTTCCCCGGGCACCACCAACAGTACTCGACGCAGGCGAAACCCAGGAGACAGAGGACAGTAGCCTTCGAAGCCCACAACCTAAACGCAGCGGAACCACGATGCAACGCGATCCGTCACGGTGTGCAGACTACCGAGACCACAGTATGGGGGACACGACGGGCACAAGCACGCATTCCAAAAAGTCGGGCGGATGACGGGCCCAGCCTCGCGACGCCGTCGGAGGGTGCATCACGCATCCCACAAGTCTCCGCCCTCGCAAACGGTAAGCAGCGCGTGCATGGCGGAGGCCACCTGCGCCACCGCTCAATGGCGCCGCTTGGATGGCGAAGAGCGCAGAGCGTCCTCACCAAGTTATGACACCCCCTCAACACAAAGAGAACGCGTCGTTGTGAGTGCGGACACTACGGGATGATGGTGCTGAAGCTGAGAGCCGGTGACGGGCACCTCCGCCTCCACACCCTGTAAACGACCGCCAACCGGACCGCCGTTGGCGATCAGGCACCAATCATCGCAAGACAATGAGCGAGGGTGAACGCAACGATCCACAACCCGGCACCACGGCATAGGAAAGCCCCGACAGCCGCGACCGCCGCCAATGACAACAGAGCTGTCGTGAAATAAGCCCTCCGAGAGAGACGACCATGGACTCGAACGGCGCCGCAAAAATGTTCGCTCGTCCACCAAAGCACGACTCGCCCGTCCCTCGCAAACTGGAAACCACCCAAGGCGTGTGCAGAGAGTCCCTCGTAACTCGAGTACAAGGTCCCAAAACCMACGCCCGGAACGTCGCCTTCGTCGACTGCAAGGGGGCTGCTAAGCACGCAGGCCCCTTTAAGAGTGCAAACGGGACTCCGAACCGCCAACCACCGACTGTTTGGCACATCCGRAGGGTGCTCACTGAGCCATCCGCCGAGGGACCTGCACATGTCCCTTTCCAGCAAGCTGACTGAACAGACCCCAATGGCGATGTCCCCCTCGGGACCTCATCCCTTTCCGCTCTCAATAAGACGCCTGCGGACCTTCGATCCTGGGAGACCCCCTTTTCTCGGGGCCGTTCCTACGCCTGAGTGGTAGTGCGCGGTATCTGCTGCCCCCACAAAATTTGACACCTCAAAAGTTTGTCCCATCTCCGTCCCTTCCACACACAAAGGGATAAGGGGAAGGGCCGAGGAAAAAAATAAATACATTGAAAAAAAAAAAAAAAAAGGGACGAAACAAACAAAGAAAAGGCCAAGCAGCTTCTGTGCCTAGCGACTCAGATCACGCCATGGTGTGGGAGTGAAAAGTTTACGGGAAGTCTGGCAGAATCGTGCGTCCGTTGTGGGGTTATGTGTTGGTGAAGAAGACTGGACACGCACTCCAAAAAGAGAAGGGGGGAAAGAAAAGTCAAGGATGACTTGACAAAATCGTCATTTCAATTTGTGTCGGCCCCGAAACAAACTGCATCCGGCAGAAGAAGCGAGGCCGAAAACCCGACGGCCATAACCATTTTCGTGCATGTCTCGGAGAACACAATGGAGCCAATCAGGTACCGCCTCCAGTGAAGCAGGCCGCCATGATCACGCGCACGAGCGGGGAGGGCCGGATAGGGCAGG